GGAGGCGGGCCCCGCCTCCATTCCGAACATAGCCCTCGTCTGCTGCAGTGGCTGGCTGTCAATGACACAGCTCCGCAGCGGCTATGAGGGGAAATGCGCCGTGGCCGCTGCTGAGCTGTGTCTGACATCCAGCACCCCCACATGCCATAGCCACCCAGGCCGGGTCCCATAGCGGCCGCCTGGGTCGCTATGGCGATTGTTACGCCACTGCTGGTATTCATTGTAACACAATCAGTAAACAGCAGCTCTGCCTTTGCACACAATACATTGTACGGGGAAGGGGGGTTGCCGTTGGTTGTCACGATGAATACTAATGAATTGGGGGTGGGGGGTGCAGAGGTCACTTGTACTATACACACATTACTTGCAAAGCACAATTGCAGCCATTTCCATGAGGAGATGAAGAGGAAAGCTAACATAAAATGTAAATTCTTGTGTTCATATACCGCTACTGCATATGCTTGCTTCATGTACACTCGGTGTACATTGCTGGCATATGTTTCTTAAAAATACTTTCGCAAAGGTGGAAATGGGCTTTAAGCCCAGAAGAAGGGGGATGTTGTAGTCTCTGTAATGAGTTGGATGCCTTTTTTCCAGTTTTAATAATAAAAAATTGAATCACAACACATCCAGTGGTATGACTCATTGTTGAAGGTGCTCCTCCCTTTTCAATCAGACAAAGGAAGCTGCAAAGCAATCCGTTCTTCTATCTGCATATAACCTTCTGAGAACCCCTTGTTTGAGTAAATGGCAGACGGATAGATCTCAATTACTTTCTTTCTCATTTGTTACTGGATTTCTTTGGATCTCGGCATGATGTGAAGCTTTTGAGGATCTTTTGGTCTACTTCACTTTGTCAGTCAAGTCTTATTTAAGTGATTTCTTGATTGTGAACAGGTGTGGCAGTAACCAGGCCTGGGTGTGGCTAGAGAAATGGAACTCTACTGAATACTGAACATTAATTTTTTAATGACTTCTCAGAATTATTCAGCCCCCTGAATAGAATCCCTCACAAGAGCACAAATCCGAGATTTCTTAGAAGGCAGGTTGAGGAAGACCCCTCGAGTGACAACAAAAGACCTGCAGCAAGACTTGGTGGCCCCAGGTACTGAGGTTTCAGTTTGCACAGCAAGGCGAGTACTAAGCACAGAAGGTTTCCATGCCAGAACTCCGAGACGTCACCACCACTGACCCAAAAGCACAAGACAAGTCGGCTCCAATATACTCAAAGCATATAAATAAGACACAGGAGTTTTAAAGGATTCTGTTCTGTGGAACGATGAAACAAAACTGGATCTTTTCAGCCCTATGGATCAGCGGTATGTCTGGAGGAAGAAGAATAAAAGAACTGTGGGGGTAAGTAATCAAAACTGGAGCAGCTGTGCACGGCAACCAATCAGCTTCTCTCTTTCATTTACAAATCTTAACTGAACAAACTAAAGAGAGATGCTGATTGGTTGCCATAAGCAACTGCTCCACATTTTCTCTGCTCCAGTTTTGATCAATTCCCTGCACTCTGTCTAGTAGTTTAGCATGGTGGTGGCTTGGTGATGCTCTGGGGCTGCATTGCACTCTCTGGCACTGGAAACCTGCAGCAGGTGGAAAGAAAGAATTGTTTGCTTTTGTTTGATTTGTTCATTACAAACAAGTGAAAGTCTATAAATGTTGCCAATAAACCTGATTTGCAATGGGGAAGTTGAAAAATGTTGATTACAGCTTAAGGCCCCGTTCACACTTAGCGATTTATAGCGCGGTAATTCCCGCGATATCGCGGCAATTTACCGCGCGATATCGCTCTCCAATGCTTCTCAATGGGGCAAAGGGTCCTGCTGTCGCGGGTCGTGTGTCGCTACAGCAGGACCCTTTTTGGAGCGGATTTAGCCGCGATTCAAGCTTGCTCAATGCGAGCATTTGCGCGATATCGCGCGATTTGCAAATCGCGCAGTGTGAATGGGGTCTTATAATTCATAATAAGATTTACTAAAATGAATAATAGACTATAAAAACGAATTACTGAAACAAATCCAGAAATTGGGGTAGTAAAAGTTTATGTGTAAAGGAAGCTAAAATATATTTTTCATCTACGAATGGGAGATTAATTATACGTATCTTAACAACTCCGAAACTACTTGGGAGTTACCGGAATTTAGTTTAATAATAATTAATCATTTCGTTCAGGTAACTCCCAAATATTCTAGGCCATGTTTATTGTAATCATACGTTCATATAATTTATATTGAGGATTATAGGATTATATACAATTATATCAAATTATGGAAATGTGACAGAATATTTATGTGTTTATTGACCTGACATTTATATGATGTATACAGTATGGAATACATAGACAGACATACTAGTTGCAATATAATATTATTTTTATATAGAGCACTTTTAAAGTCCACCATAAAATACACACACGTTTATACAATAAAAAAATGTGCATTTATAATTTTTATTTGCATTGGAGCCGGTAAAGTATTGCAACTTGCCAAAGGATCTGTGAATGGATGAAGGAGCCATATTCAAAAGTCAAGAGCGGGTTGCGTTAAGAAGAACCCCACGATTTTGGTAATTGTCAGGGGGGAGGGGGGGCTGGGGATGTGACATTGTTTCATGTTACATTCTGAATATGAGTTTAATATAAAACATGGTCTGAAACGCAAACTTAGCCTTTCGCTGCCATCAGACTCCCGGCGGCTGAAGTCTCTGTTTACATTCATAAAGCGCCGGCTGCTGGCTTTACAATGGAAGCGATTCTGGAGGCACAGCTGACGCCAGATCACTTCTCCTGGCCGGCAAAGTGCCCCCCCCTCAGCCTTGTTTCCCAGGCTCAGCTGCCTCTCCTGCGGGCCCAGGACCGGCACCTCGGGTGTCGGCAGGAAGCCGAGGAGGAGAGTGGCGAACATCTATTTACCTTTCTTTTCCCCGCTCTATGGGACCAACACTAATTTCATCACTTCCAGTAGCTGTCATTGCTCAGAACAGTTTGGGGATGGCCCCCTTCTGTTTCAAGATGACTGCGCACCAGTGCACAAGGCAAGGTCCATAAAGACATGGATGGAGGAGTTTGGGGTGGAGGAACGTGACTGGCCGCACAGAGTCCTGACCTCAACCCCATAGAACACCTTTGGGATGAATTAGAGCGGAGACTGCGAGCCCCTCCCCCAACATCAGTACCTGACCTCACAAATGGTCGAACATCCCCATAGACACACTCCTAAACCTTGTGGACGCCTTCCCAGAAGAGTTGAAGCTGTTATAGTGGCAAAGGGCGGAGCCAACCCAACACTGAACCCTACGGACTAAGACTGGGATGCCATTAAAGTTCATTTGCGTGTAAAGGCGTCCCAATACTTTTGGCAATATAGTGCATCTCAAATAACTGAGCATACTTTCTGTCTTAAAGGAGAACTATGGGGTCAGGGCTTTTCCCCATAGTTCTCCTTAGGGTAACGGGAGGACACAAACTAGCGCCCTCCCGTCACCCTAAGCTCAGTATACTGAGACGCCGCAGCCAGAGCGGATCCCGACATGGACGTCGGGATCCGCCCAGCTGCGTGAGTGACAGCTGGCTCTGCCTATCTAGAGGCAGAGCCAGCTGTACCCGCCCCCTCCCCCGTCCGTTCCGCCAGTCAGCGCTGGCAGATCGGAGCGGGGAGGGGGGAATCCAGCCCCTCCCCT